GATGAAACCCCACGTCTAAAACTCACACACAAAGAAGCTTGGTCGTTTTTTGCTTACTGAAAACACGGGACTAGAAACTCGAATGCATCTCTAGTCTAACAAATCCTATATAGTTAGGACCAAAATTTACAAGTCACCTTAAATAACATTGGTTACACTAGGTTGTTTAAGATCCGAGCCAGACCCAGACTCAGACTGGTTGAACCCAATTCGTGTGCACATACAACTTATTGTTTAAATAATATAATTATTACTTTAATAAAAATATTTAATATTTAAACTTATGTAGTAGCAATTGATGATTTACTTATGTGTCATGTGAGTGCAATGTAGGAATAGGTTATTGGTTTATATTTTTCATCAAGTTTATCTGATAATGTATAATACAGCTTTTTCAGTGTACAAAGAAAACACGCAAACCTTGGAACATAACTGCTACATAATACACATTTAGAAAAATCATACTTATTCTAAATTCAAAACCATGATGTTTGTACACAAAATACAAGATCAAACAGATGTATTAAACTTAAGCTGATATAATAAAGAATATCGAAAACCAACCTCAATCATAAGTGAACTCACGTCAAGCACAATCTTTCATCTTCATATGTTGCCAGTATTGAGTTGTGATGTGGGTGTCTTCGGGTGAGAGACATTATGATGATATATCCATGATATATATATATATATATATATGTATATGTATATGTATATGTATATGTATGTATAGGTATATGAGTTAGAGTGTAAAGAAAGAAGATAGAAAAACTTATGAGGTTTGAATGATGTTTGTTGAGGGTATTTATAGTAAATGTAGATTTGCAGGATTTTAATGTTGATAGTTGGTGAGTACATTTATGTTGCAATCCTCTTCCTTATGAATTTTGCCATCAAAAGTATTATTTCCAATTTGCATTTATTTCATTTAAATAGATATTAAAATCTTATATCTTAATCAATAATGAACAAAATATGAATTGATAAAACACGTTGTCGTTTATATCTTTAAACTCTGACAATATATCATCAACGTGTAGCTCAATTGGTAAAAGAGTTGAATGGCTTTGTACAAATACAAGACAAGTCATCGGTTTAATTCTACCCCATAGTCTAAGCTGTTGATTCAGCCAAAAAATGTCATCTCACATTTGTGTCCTTAGAGGCGAGTTCCGTGTGGAAACGGTTAAGATTGTCAATAATCAACTTTTTTGTCCAAATATACAACCAACTGTTTTAATGGTAATGCACATATGGATGTGTACCTTTGTTTACACTATGCATGGGAGTACGAGAATAATTGCACCAACAACATTTCAACCAAAACAAGTTTTGAATAATATCGTTGTTTATTGATGGTTTTAAAGCCTCATTTAAAAACATATACATATAAAACATTATTAGCACCTTAGCGCTCGCTAATACAAAAAACATTGATCAGCATAAATGATATGCATACAAGTTTTACAAATGAACATTAACTACACATTAAAATCAAGTCCATTTCGTCAGTATTCTCGTGTATCAATTGCCACGTCCTTCCTTACAATCAAGTCGTGATAATTCATTTAACCAACATCACATTTCTCACCAATCAAATAATCTTTACTTATATGCCTATTTAGTGGAAAAAGTTCAATTAATACGATCTAAAGTGGGACCCACCAACAAGCATGTCCCCTTGGCCAGTAGGACATGTTGTGGTTGAGGAGTGGATTAATTAAATTACATGGTAATACAAGATAAACTATCTTAGTTTATACTATCTAGGAGGTTCCTACAAGTCTTCTCATGATCGTTTTTTAGCATGTTAAATGTGTGATTTTGAAATACGGCTTATCGATCATCATAACTGTAATTTGTGTCTATATATATATATATGTATATATTTTTGTTATCTTATTTTTCATTGCAATCAAAAGCTTTATGTGTAACAAAGTCTCCAAAAAGATTGAAACGTCCGTGCTCCTTTGAGTTGCATCATGCCTTCTTCCATTTAGGTTTGGTCATCACACTTGATCTATACTTTCGATAGGACAGGAGTTTTCAAACAGCCACAACTTTTTTTTTTACTTTATCGTCCATTTAAAAAAATGGGAATAAAGATTTGCTTGGCAAATACAAGTCTCGAACTTCCGTTATTAAGATAATGTTCTAACCAACTGAGGTAAGAGGTCAAGAAATTAATTAATGATTGTTGGGTTCAGTAGTATTAGGGATGAAAGATTGATCATTGAAGGTCATTGAGATAAACAAGGGTTGTGTGATACCACATAGAAACTGATGGAAAAGAACTTGTCTACTACAACATGGGTTGAGTTCACGTGAGACCAAAGGTTTTTCGTGAGACCCGTAAGACCAATTTATGTTCATTGATCAACTTTATGATCTAATGGTCTAAAATTGCAAGGTGGCAATTTTGTAATTATTGAGAAGTCTCGTGGCGTTTATGAATGTTTAGATCTGACGATTGTAAATCTAATCCAATGGTTTAGAATTGGTCTTACGGGTCTCACGAAAAACTATTGGTCTCACATGATCCCAAGTCACTACAACATTGTTAACAAGTATTTATACTTACGAAAAAAGAAAAAACAAATATAATCTACTAAGTTGGATCGGATGTCAACCTGTGAGGCACCATTTGTGACTATTGGATACATAGGTGAACTGAATTTGCGTGCGTATGTTGAATTATTTGTCGTGTATGAGCTCCTGATCAAGCCATGTTTATCAGATGAACTTCTTTTAACACTTTTTAACGAACCCTGCCTTCTATTTTCCCCTTCAAAACTTTTTATTGTTCATAAACACTGTTTGTGCGTACAATTAAAAAAATAAGTAATATCTTCATGGAATTGTTTATAAAAAGATCAAATATAATCTCCATATTTAGATTACATAAGAACATGAATTAGATTTGGTAAATTTTGTAACCTTAAAAAATAAAAATAAAATTAAGAACCAAACGTATTAAACGATATAAAAATAGGGGATGTTTATTTTACAAACTCTGTAATTTTTACGAACTCGATAAACCGATCTCAACCATACATGTAGATAATCAACCGTTTAGATTAATTCGATTCCTTAATTTACTTTCTACCGTATTTTATAACCGTCTTAATCAAGCGTTTCCTTAATAACATTTTTCATTCCTACAGTTTTAAAAAATTACAAGACAATTATCGTGATTTGTAAAAATGTTCAGATTTGGTTCCTCTCTATAACAAACGTTAAATGACTGACATTTTCGTTCTTTTATTGATTTTCTTTGTCTTTTACCGATCAAGAAACACATACACCAAAATCTTAAAATCGATTTTGATTAGATAAGATACAGAAAATTAGATAAAAACACGAAAATACTCTTTATTTAATTGAATTTGTTAACAACTATTGAGTAAAAGACAAAATCTAGATACGTTTATAAACTACTAGAAGGGTACTCGTGCAATGCATTGAGACACATTTTCATTTCAATGTTTCGTTTAATTTTTTTATCCATGTCGATATAATACGATTTTATGTGGTTTTGAGAAAGCGATAATGGTTTTATTTTTGAATAAAATATAAATTTGAAAATATCATATAAAATTTGAAACAAAAATATATCAATATTATTATCGAATTATCTATTTAAAAGTTCTTGTTTGTTTATTTTTTTTAATTCAAATTTTTTATTATAATTTAATTTAAAGTAACAAAGTAACTTAATTTAGGTTTAATAATATTTTTTTATAAAGATAATAATTAAGTATTATGTTAGAACTCAATAATTATCCTAACTATATTTTAAAATAAGATGTTTATCCTCTATTTGATCATGTTTATCCGTAGTTAGTTACACAAATTCAAACACAGCTTTAATAAGTTGTATTTATTAGGGGTGAGCAGCGGAACCGGAACCGCCTTGGAACCGCCGGTTCCGAAACCAGAACCGATATGAGTGGTTCCGGTTCCTAAAATACGGAACCGATTGAGAACGGTTTCGGTTCCGGTTCTCAGTTTTTCGGAACCGTTACCCGCCGGGTACCCGGAACCGGCGGTTGTTTTCAATAAAAAAAATAATTAATTTTTTTCAATACCAAATTTATATTAGGTTACATCTTCAAATGACGCGGTCATCTTCATTCTTAATATACTTTCTAATTCTACTAAACTACAGTTCGTAGTATGTAATCGTTAAGTTTTGAACATTTATAATTATAGTATATAATCATTAAACTTTGAACATTTTCTATTAGTCTATTATGGTTTGTAATCGTTAAAACAATATTCGTAACCATTATTCCGTATAATTTGTATTCTTATTTATTTAATTTAGTGTTTTGGCAATATTTTATTTTTATTTCTAAATAACAAAATTTTAATATTTTAGGAAGCGGGTACCCGGAACCGGAACCGGTCCCGGCGGTTCCGGTTTCGGTTCCAAAAATTCAAGAACCGCTTTAACCGGTTCCGGTTCCAATATCTCAAGAACCGCCGGTTCCGGTTACGGTTCCTGTCAAAAAGGGCGGGTACCCGCCTATGCTCACCCCTAGTATTTATGCACAATTTACTTGTAATCTTGAATTTTAAGCAATATGCATTAATAAACAGTATTTTATACATAAAAAATATTTTAAAAGTTTTTATCAAATACCTTATAATATAATATAGATGATAATTATCTTGTAATTTTAAAACTATAAATAAAGTATTATTTCCAACAAATAATTTATAGTTTACTCAAAAATTTATTTAACAAATAGAAAGGTTGAGTAAAAATCACCTCTAATTATTATCATCTCTAGACTTTCCAATTCAGTCACGACTCCCATTTGCATATGCTTTACACAGTAACAGCATATTCCAGATTTTGACTGTGTTGACTACAACCCGCACGTGGCCACCACGTCATCCAAGGAAGCCAATTAAAATAAGACACGTCAAATTAATTATACTTTTGCTTTTTGAAATAGGAAAATTGGGTTTATCCAGAACACGCCTACCCAAAATTAATAAGAAAAAAAGAAAGTAGAAGAAGGTCAGCCGTCAGCAACCGAACACAAATCATTCCCCACTCCATCAACAAGGGGTTGCCTAAAATTCCGTTTTTGGATTTGAGGTTTGCTGAAGATCCATGGGTATGAAGTGGGTCGGTGTTGGATCCGTTTATCTGTTAATGGGTTTGATCGTAGGAGCTCTAAGATTGTGCAATGGAGGAATTAGCAGTAGCTATGCGAGAAGCAACGACATCAGTGCTGACATGCCATTGAACAGCGATGTTTTTGCAATTCCTCATGGTTATAATGCCCCTCAACAGGTGAGGACTACTCTCTAATCTATGTTTTCGTATATGTATGTGTGTGTGTATATACACACACACACATAGGCGTAGGATTTGGGTGATCGCTTCAAGTCTCGCACTAATACTTCACAGTCAGTAGGTTTTGGCACTCTAAATATGAGTTTTGATGATTTTATTGCACATTGTTTAGATTTGAAGTGGGGATTTTGATGAACATCATGTTGGAAATGTAATGAATTAGGTTGGGATAATTACTAGTTTCCTTAACTGGTAATCACAAGTCTAAAATTAAGGTGGCATTCGCTTTCAAATTCAAATTAGATTCAAACATTGTATTTGTGGAACTCTAAATCTAGGGACTAGGATTCGTGATTCAAATCATACAATTTAGTTAGATTCATTTATCAGATAACATGGTTCTCATTAACGGATCAGAAGATCAGAATCTTATTGGATCAAATCATCCTTGTATTGGCGAATTTCCCCTATTTCTTGGAGTTGGATATCATTCTTTTAGAGATTTTACTTTTGATAACTGTTGGAGATGATCTAGTAGCGACATACATAGAAAATATTCGTTTTTGTTGGCATTTCGGGAGGTCATAACGAATAGGTTAGTCGCAAATGGAAGGTCTTCTCAGAAACCTCCTGTATCTTGAGGTAAGGTCCGTATACATCTTTCCCCCAGACTCTACATTCGTGTGGGATATACAGTGTTTGTTTGGTGGTTAGAGGGAAAAGACATGTTCTCTTGATTAAGAAGCATATTGTTCTTTAAACATCACTAAAATACTTCTCTATTTATACCAATTGTATTAACCATATCAGTAAAGAACCGGCTAGAGTGAGTATTGATACTTGATTACTAGAAGTATTTTGTAATCTTTAGATGCCACCAACGTCCACATTTATTTCCCAGGATATACTTTCTTTAATCTTGATTTGTGAATAAATCTTGGTTCAAATGAAGGTTCACATAACACAAGGGGATCAAGAAGGGAAGGCAGTGATTGTTTCTTGGGTTACACCAGATGAACCTGGTTCAAATGAAGTCTTTTACTGGGCTGCGAATAGTGACCTCAAAAAACGCTCAGTGGGAACCGTTGTCACCTACAAGTACTACAATTACAGCTCGGGTTACATCCATCACTGCACCATCAAGAATCTCCAAGTATGCAAAATCAATGGTTGACCATGTTTTCAAGATTTTACAAAAGATTAATTACATGGTCATATTCACTTAATCATGTAAAAATTTGCAGTATGATACCAAGTACTTTTACGAGATTGGGGTAGGAAATACAACACGACAGTTCTGGTTTACCACGCCTCCTGAAGTCGGCCCTGATGTTCCTTACACTTTTGGTCTTATTGGTATTGCATTTAATGAGAAGATACCTGTTTCTTGTTCTTTCTTTTGTTAACTGTGGGTGTCTGGTTCAGCTTACGCACACCTCGACTAATTTCATGAGATCCCCAGTGGCCCTGAGGAGACTCAAACTGACGACCTATGGAGAGGAGCTCCAAGGCCACGCCTTGATTTGTCAGTTGAGCTGGTCCTCAAGATTATGAGAAGTTATTTGTTGTGACTTACTTCTTTTGGTGTCTTTCGATGATAGGGGATCTTGGTCAAACGTTTGACTCCAACCGGACTTTGACTCATTACGAGTTGAACCCAGCAAAAGGGCAGGCGGTGCTGTTTGTTGGAGACCTTTCTTACGCAGATGCGTATCCGTTGCATGATAACAATAGGTGGGATTCATGGGGAAGGTTTGTAGAAAGAAGTGTTGCTTACCAACCGTGGATTTGGAGTGCTGGGAATCATGAAATCGATTTTCTTCCTGATTATGTAAGCAGTTTGATCAATTTTATAAATTTATAATCGTTTCTGAGCTATTTATAATCTTTATTTTGATTTTGTAGGGTGAAACAAGACCATTCAAGCCTTATGTGCACAGGTACTTTGTGCCATATAAAGCATCAAAGAGCACATCTCCTCTTTGGTACTCCATCAAGAGAGCTTCTGCATACATAATTGTTATGTCTTCTTATTCGGCTTATGGTAAGACTATGAATCGCTATACATATAGGCGGAGAATCGTGTGAGAAGGGAAGTTATGGTGAGAAACATAAGAAGAGATCTGAACCCTTGATCACTTTTAATCTCATGCCCGCCCAACGAATTGAGCTTTTGAAGGGAATTGATCCCGTGCATCTAGGTGCTCCTCATTAGTGTTCACATTCAATTAGGATTGATCCAAGGGTGGATATCTCTTCTTATGCTTCTCACCATAACTCCCTTCTCACCGGAACCCAACCCTGTATATATGGGGAGATTTAGGGGAAAATCCCCCAAAAAATGAAAAACTGAGGAACACCCTGATAACAATTCATCTGGATGATATTCACATATGCATACAAATAATTGAAACTGTTTCTTGGTTTTTTTGCTCGTGTGCATGTTATGAACATGTATATCCTGTCCGGATGAATGGTTACCAGGGTGTTCTTTAGTTTTTTTTTCATTTTTTTATGTTTTCCCCTAAACCTGACCCATATATATATATATATGATTACTCCTGCTTTTCTTCTTAGAGTCCCATATCGGCTAGACTTGAAAGTTCTACTTCAATATATGTTGGAACCTCTATTCTCTCTTCAAATGCTCTTTTGGAGAGTAATTTGATGAGGTTCTTCATATCTTACACGGTACCATAGCAAAGAACTGCCATTTGGGTCCTCTGTACCAGAGGGAATCAACACTTTTGGGCAATCTAGATCCGTCTAGCCTCTGTTGGAGGAGGCAAAGTCTCCCTTCTCTCCTCAATGACTCTTTTGGAGAGTAATCTGATGAGGTTCACATATCTGACATTTCTAAAAAGGAGTGTTTTCTAGAACAGTATTTGTGAAGATTTTTTTCGAGAAATTTTGATTTTTCTTGAAACAGATTAATGTCCCATTTATTGGACGAATGTAATCTGTTAGTGAAATATGCAAACGACAATTTTGTATACATACATTCAAGACTTGTTGAAAAGGGTTTCGTTTTCTGTAGGAATGTACACACCTCAGTATAAATGGTTAATAAGCGAGCTCCCCAAAGTGAACCGGAGTGAGACACCATGGCTTATTGTGGTTATGCATTGTCCGCTGTATAGTAGCTATGTGCATCATTACATGGAAGGGGAAACGATGAGAGTGATGTACGAACAGTATTTCGTTAAGTACAAAGTTGACGTTGTCCTTTCTGGCCATGTTCACGCCTATGAACGAACTGTAAGCGGTTGTTAACCCCTTACTTTCACCATATGTCAAAATGAAACTCGTGTGGTCATGTCCTCTTTTTATAACTCTTTTGAATGCTTATAGGGCCGTGTATCAAATATTGCTTACAACATCGAAAACGGATTGTGCACTCCTAGAAATGACGGATCTGCCCCTGTTTACATAACCATCGGTGATGGAGGAAACCAAGAAGGATTACTCTACGAGTAAGTTGTTGCTTTAAATATGTTTGCCCTCTCAGATGTTCTAAAGGCTATATTCGGCAAACTGGTCATAAGTTAGCTGTCAGTTGATAAGTTATTGGTAAAAATTAGCCGATAAGTAAATGGCAGTCTGAAATAGCTTAAAAGAACATGTGGAAAATTGATTGAGAAAATATAAGGGCATAACTTGAAGAAAGTGGAAATAACCCCTAAAGCTTATTGAAACATTACTTGATTTGAGGGGATAATTGAAAAAAGCTGGGTTTTTTAATAAGCTAGCTTATGATTGTCAAACATGACCTGAAAAGATTTCTTGATTTGATATGTTATTGATGCAGAATGGTCGAGCCTCAGCCGAAGTATTCAGCTTATAGGGAACCGAGCTTTGGGCACGGTATATTTGATATTAAAAACAGGACTCATGCGTATTTCGGGTGGCACCGTAATCAAGATGGATATGCAGTCGAAGCAGATTCTTTGTGGTTTCAAAATCTGTACTGGAAGTCGTCACAAGATTCATCCGCTGCTGCATCGTTCTCAGTAGCCTAAACCCGGAAATGAATAGGTTCGCACTCGTTATTCGATCATTTCCGATCTTGGTTTTCCGAGTTTAGAGTTTTTGATATGATTGCAGGAGAAGTTGATAAGTTTCTGTCCTTGGTGAGGTTGGATGATAAAAATGTTTGGAAATTATGGTCGTGATGAAAATGTTTAAAGATTTTTCTTTAAAATGTAATTCTAAAAAATGTTTAAAGATTTATCTTTAAAATGATAAAAATGTATGGAAATTATTTTCATTCAAACTAATTGTTATTTAATATCTTTAACCAATCAATTAATGTTGTATATATACCGACTCTAATGGTAAAAAAATCATCAGAACAAAGGGACCAAATCAGCGATAAAAAAGATTGTAATAAATTTTAGAGTGAATTATGGATCTGGTCATTGTGTTTTTGATGTTTTTCACAGCTAGAGTCATTATACAACATTAAATATGGATATGATTTTGATGGTATTCAGTTTGTAATTTATTTTTATTTTCGTTCCTGAAGCCAAGACAATATTTTTTAGTGTGAAAGACTAAAATAGAAAATGAATTATAAACCATAAGAACGAAAAAACCAATAAATTTTAATGCAAGTGAATGACAAGTCATTCTTAATGATTTTATGGAGTATATGAAATAGCAGAAATGAAGCTTTGTAGAATAACACTTCCAAAGCCACGACTCAAGAACAATGCATGGCTTTAGAGCTAATCAGCAACTATGCATGCATGGCTATAGAAGTCATCAGCAACCGGCTAAAGACTATATATAGCTTTACGAGTTCATCATGGGTATATATATATTATTATATATATATATATATAATAGGTTGGGTTCCGGTAAAAAGAAAAGTTATGGTGAGAAGCATCACAAAAGATATATTTAAATCATTGATCACTTTTAATCTCATCTTCACATATATAAGATTAAAAGTGGTCAAAGATTCAAATATATATATTTTTTACACTTCTCATTATTACTTTATTTCGTACGTGATCTTTCACCTATATATAATAATAATATCATGTGTGATTCAATATATAGAGGATAAAACAGATGAATTTATTAATTGGGTCACATTTATTAAGATAAACAGTAAAACAGAAAAATTCGACCAACCACAAAAATGAAAATCCTGGAATGGATGTTCGTGATTGATTCCAAATATATATACAACTTAAAGATAAGATGAAAAATAAAATGTAATCATTAAATTAAGTTAATTTAGGCATGTTATTGGGAAATTGTAAAGTCGTGTAATTGAGGTGAATTGCACGTACATCAATCATATGCATCACGGAATTTGATACTGCCAACTGAATAATACGCGTTACAAAGTGGACGACTTATTGCACACATGTAAATATATATACACATCCATATGTATTATATTATATCATATCATAATTCATTTCATTCTCTATGTGACATATCACGTGACTATCATATCCATCTCTATACATACCATATATATATTCTCATATTACTACTACTATATATATATATATATTATTTGTGTATAAGCATTTTATATTGTGTCACGTGCCACACTCACTTAGAAACCTTCGTACCATTTCGATGATTTAATACTCATCAGGAATGATCACCGATCACACCATCAATGGGTGGTTCAATTCAATGCCGATTGTGTCATTGAATGTCGATGCTGCAATCCCTGGATCAATCGCCTGAGATTGGTAATCCATGGTGGAAGCCGCCTCCGTCCATAACCGGGAATCGTCAAACTCTGGCAGATTGGCATTTAGGTTTCCGGTCGACGATTTAGGATCCACGTAATTCTCTCCATTTCTTGGATCGTGATTGATCTTGTGATTCTGAAAATGATGATAATTGGCTACAGTTTGCCCATTAAGATCCGAAATCTCCATGTTTTCGACTTTGATCTTCTGATTCTGATTCTGTTGGTGCATATATATTTGTATCTGTCGTTCAAACTCCTGTTGCTTCTTCATTTGTTCGAGTGCACGGTGGTACCTCGCCTCCTTTGCGGCCTCGGTTACGGCCGGCGGCGGTGGTGGAGCCGAATCATGTGCTTCGTCGGGAAGGTTGACATGGGCATTGGGTCCGTACAACCTCCGGGCGGCAGCGTCGTAAGCGATGGCGGCTTCACGGGCGGAGTTGAAGGTTCCAAGCCAGACACGGCTGCCGCGGTTGGGCTCGCGTATTTCCGACACCCACTTCCCCCAGGTGCGTTGACGAACGCCTTTATAGGTACAAGAAGCATTCTCAGGGCCACCTTTCCCTCTCATGCAACCTTTTCTTGAACTAGCCTGAGCCGTCGTCCTCCGCCGTCCTCCGCCACCATTGTTTCCGACATTCAACATAATTGTCTGAAAGTGCAGCAAATGTTATCGGAAATCAGAAGGAAAAGCACCTGACTTTATAGAAGTGGAGGAGTAGATAAGTTTTTTGGAGGGTACGTGTCTTCGTGGAAGAAGAGTGAAATGGCAAAGGATGGCCTTGCACACGTGTGTTTTGAATGTGGACATGACATCTTATAAATCATCACCACATTCTACGACACTCCCTTCTCTATATCTTGCGCTCACACGTGACACGAGGGTGACATGAAAACCTAAAACCAATCATTTTTTAATTAATTAGATTATATTAGTTGTATAAATTAACATATTTTTAACTGAAATATATATATATTTATATATATATATATATATATATATATATTCTTTTTTTTAAAACATGAAACATTATAATGATTGGGTACCAAGTGTACGAGCGTAAGAGTAGTGAGTAGATAGTAGAAGTGATTGAGTTGGTTGGCAATGGTGAGGTGGCGACCATCCGAACACGACCCTCTTACGTCTAACCATTGACATAAGCACCTTTGACTTTCTATGTGCTTGAACTACTTTCCTTAAATCAACCCTCAACTTATTTCTTATTTAAAACTTATGATTTTTTACAAAATTATTTATTAACTTATCATTAGTTAGAAGGATTTAACTTATTCAAAAACTCTTTATTACCGGTTTGACATCGGTATAAGTTGTTTATCCAAACTCTCGAAAGTGTTTACCGGTGCCACACCGAAATAAGTCAATAAGTTATTTTTATAAGCAATCCCAAACACTCATTTATATGCTTATATTCCCGGATAATAGTAAAACAATAAGAATAACAATTTGTGTCCTTGTGGTATGTTTAAAACTTTAAAACGGGTCCCTCAAAAGCAAAAAAACTACAAGAATGGTTACTTAGGTTTGTATTTTGGTTTGAAAGTGGTCTTTAACACTAACTGTTTGTTTGTTTTGTTAACTCAATTAAGTGAAGGGTATTTTGATCTTTTTTGTATTTTCTTCTGTCTTTCTATGTCTTCTTTATTAAATAAATTTCAATGTATGCATGCTTTGAACATGTATACAACCCGTTAATGCATCTACCCCTCCCCATTCCCTTTTCTCTGGCAACCACCCCCACCCAGAGGATCAGAAATCGATCGTTCTATCGTTTTGGAAGGGTGTTTCAAACTATTCTTGAACTAATACCGATAAATTGTGACCATAAGAAATCAGTCATGATAAACTAAGTGGCCACATAATTATTGTGTACGCCTGGAAGATAGATGGAATATTACACGATATCCTCCAGGACCTCAACCACTACGTTACAACCCTTGTAATTTCATTATCTCTTCTTCCCACATTAATTTTCTAAAGTTCAATTTTAGATATACCTAAGGGAAGTTTGGTTTGGTGAAACGATTTTTGAAGAATTTGGTTTTTGTGGAACGATTTGGAATTGGAGGGGGATTTGGATTCGGATATCTTTGATATCTTTGATGTGTTTGATTTGTAGGATTTGGAATGATATTGAATTCCATTATTTAAAAAAACTAATTAAATTACCCTTTTATTTATTGATTATTACAAATAAATTTTTTAATCAATTTTTGAAACATTATTTTTTATAAATCCTATAAAATACTAAACACTTACTCAGGTAAGCGTTTACCAAGTCATATTACCTTACTATATGAATATGACGAAGACCAAGAATCTTACTCGGTAAGGACGAAGGCAAAGACCGAGAGTCTTACCCAGTAAGTGAAGATAACAACTCTTACCACGGTTAGCTTTTACCGGGTAAATTGTTGCATCCGGTACCGTATTGATGAACTAAAATCTTACCGGTTAAGTAAGTAATAATGTTAGATTTTACCGATAAGCAATTACCAGGTAAATATTTGGTAAACGCCCGTTCCAAATATTTTTTCAGAAAGAAAAGAACCAAAAACCAAACTCATGGAATCAAATCTTTATCTCCCTCACTTAACTAAAAATTGTACATTTGTGTAGCAAATCATGTACACATTTATCACTTTAAATCTACACAAAATCACTTTATTCTTGGTGTCCAGATTCTACATTATTTCTTCTTGTTGCTACCTCCATGAAATTAACCCTACTTTTTATATCCGAAAACGGAAGTGAAATCGGCTGTGGTAGTCTCTAGTTTCTTTGCTCCGATCATCAGACCTGCCTACGCTGGTTTAACCGAACAAACCGCTTCTACCAATAACCTCTTCAAGACTTTAGGACACGGGTCCGTTGCAAAATAGTCGTTTGAGGCCGTCATTTCACAACTCTCCTGGCCAACACATGTCTGTTTAAAACGCAAATCATTAGAGAATATAACAGTGTCGGGTCTCCAACACAAAAAGACCTGTGTTTCTCTATGCTAGAGATGCTATAAAAGAGCTAAGATTGGATCCAGTCCGGCAAGCCAAATAAGATTAGGTCAAACTACTAGGCAGACCAATGTACTGTCTAGCTAATAATTTGACCTGGCCAAACTAATATGCCTAGCCTATGAAAGTTTTGTCTTTATTTGATACCGACCTTTTCCATGAGGTCACGAGAATTTGGTGCATGACAAGCGCCCTGTCGAAAATCTCCACAACCTCCAAATGGAGTCCCGAAACTTGCAAAATTAATTGCGGATATGGATTGGCCGAGCCCGCATCGCAGGCGGACCTTAGTGTCGTGAAGCATAGTAGTTTCACCCGAGCTCTCCGTTTGCCAGTTGTCAGTGACCGGATGATGCTCAAACGTAGAAGCACAAACGTGTGTCTGTGTTCTTTTCGCCAGAGATATCCTCGAGATATTCCCACCGACCTCTTCAAATAGCACCAACAAATTTTGCGTGGGCTTTAACCACGATCTTGGAACATGATACCTGATCAAGAACAAACAAGTGAATTAGATTACTTTCCAAAAAAGTCCTTCGAAACATAAATGGTTCAAGTCTAGCTGACGTGAGACTCTAACAGTACAATAATTTACCAGCGTTGGGTTGGTGCACCGCAGCCTGCCTGACACTTCCCGGGTCTGAAAGCTCCGGGATACTTGCAAAAGCCACACTTTCCCTTTGCGTGCTCGGTCCAATATCTTCCGATGCTTTGACCATTGATCCATACCTGACCTCGAACCATACTCTTCATGTCCAGAGCCAAGGGATCGTTGCCTTCCGGTGCATCGAAATAAGCCTTGTACCACTTCAAAGGCTGTTGAACATGGTTAACCAAAGAACCGCCATTCCACTCGACAGATGAGAGGCCGTTAGGCGAAATCAAATTCTTCGTCTCTCCATTTAATCCGACCTGCTTATACGATTTATATAAGCCAATATTGTTAGGTATATGGAACCCCTTCAAGTTACTTTATAAAGAGCATTTATAAAGAGAATGGAGATTCCAACATATATAGAGGTTAAAAGTCAATGTCTAGTTGATGCGGGACTGCAACAGATACCAGTGGTGGTAGCAGTATGTACGGTTTCCATCGATGACTTACCTTATAAGTCCATCTCGCCCTCGATAAATCGATTGTTCCATGGTCAAGTCCGTCAAGCGTGACAGGTCCTAGGATTCCCGTATCCCGTGCCTCGAAGTGCATCCCGACATTCTTTAGAACAATTCGAATGAATTAGCAAGAATATGTCAAAGGCACAAGTTTGAACTTTAGAATTGATAATTCTTAACATGATATTAACGGCTTACCGGTAGTCCAGCAGCCATACTAAGCAGAGAAATTTGATTTGTTCCGCCGTGGAGATCGACGGGTTTACGGAGCGTAAATCTCGTGTCCTCCCTCGAGCCATACGCAGACCCTACAGTTGTAAATATTCAACATTTGAATCATGATACAAATTGTCACATCTTGAAAGATGCGTTCAAACCTCACCAAAGAGCATAAGTCCACGTGAGAATTTACGGTATATAAATATTAAATACTTCAAAGAAAAACAGATGGGTTCCATTGGACTACCTGAATGTTGTCCATTCACAAAAACATGAACTCCGTGACCTTTAGATTGAACCACGAGTGTCGGTTTTCTTCCTTCACGAAGAAACGTTTCCGACGGATTGACGTCGATACTGGTGTATGCAAAACAGTTAATTCAACACACATATGAATGAGCCAAATATATTCCACCCAGAAGCAAGGCTTGGGGAGGTAAGATGTACACATACCTGACCTCTATCCTCAAGAGTAGAGCAACCGTTTTCGTTATGAACACATAAGTCTAAAAAGCGAAAAAAGTTTCAAAAACGTACCTAGTCGAGTACCATAAGTAATCACTTGTATCTCTAGTGATGTTTATCTGCTCCAATAGTCCAAAGGAACTCAACGATGGTCCGTCCGCTAACGTAGAAATGTCTTCGTGGTAAGTCTCCCATGACTGTATGCTAGATCCCGTGGGCATCATTTGCATCCGCGAAGTTTGAGTTACAACCTATAAAAGCACAATATCGTCGATTCGAGTTTAAATTCAACACTTATTGTTCTTTATTCGCACAAGTTCAACTACCTTTGCTGTATTAAACACGACGTTTTTGCAGTCGGGGAGGATACTAATGGACCACGGTGGTAATTTATAATGCCGGTTTCTAAACACGACTCTTATAGCAGAAGTTGTTTCGAAATTCGAGAGGAATGCGGCGCAGGTTCCATTTCCTTCGTACACGTATGCCTGAATGTTCATAATTTAGTCGATCAAAAACCAGATATCATAGGACCAGAAAAAAAAAACCGTAAAACCGGCTAAGAAAAACTAACGTTTTGCCTCTTTCCTAACGAAATGTATATCGGATCGGAAGAGAAAATAGCCGGTTCGCATAGCTTAATCGCTCTATGAAGCTCTGTTAAATGACCGTATTTGGGTTCTCTGATTAAGCCTGAAAATCGTTTAAGGAAATATCGTTAGGATATGCGAAGCCCTTTTAATATAAACAGCCGTAATGGTACATGTCTAGCTGATGTGGAACTGCAAATGATATCAATCCTACATTCTAATTTTTGGTATCTAATTTAATTAAAATACCAATAAACTCGAATTTTCTCACCATATTCATCGATAGGAGCATCGTAATCGTAACTCGTGGTGATAAATGGTCCTCCGCTTGTGCGTCCAAAGTTGGTTCCGCCATGATACTGTCACAAACTCGAATGGTAAATTCAACGTGATGCAGTTGTTTAATGAATCCCGTTATCAAATTTTTACTAACCATGTAATAATTAAAATACGAGCCACCTTTCTGTACAAACCGAGCCACGGCAAATGCTAAATCGTGAACCGGTCGTTGCTCGACCGGTGCACCGAATTCCGTGAACCTTCAAATCGGACCAAAAATTACATCAATAAACATTACTTAAAAAAGTCGATGTTAAAAGTGTAGAAAAATAACGAAACATTACCAGCCACTCCAGGCTTCGGTCCACATCGTGGGCTTGTAACGCTTGTTGGGTGTAAAAGTATCGCAATAGAATCCGTTGCAAGTATTTATCTATCGAGAATGCAAGCAAACCAAGTTTACAGGATCATGAAGGAATTCGTTAAAGGGAAAAGGAGGTATCCGAAAACTGACCACAGGGTCGGGTGCATCGTCTTCTTTGCACATCGACCACGGGACTCCGGTGTTAAGGCCAACCGCCATTTTTGCTGCCCAATTTACGTAGGCTTCTCCTCCTGGTCCGAGTGACTTGCGTTGTGCACCATACTCGTTTTCAATCTATTTCAAACGATTAGCAAAAGGTTAACCATTAAGATCCCTAATTTCATTATTACCAAACAATTATATTTCATTTTGTATTATACCACGAGAGTCTCTTTATCATTTTTAGTCATACAATTGACAAAAAGGGTTGAAACAAATTAAAACCTGGGAGAGAATGATTGGACCACCCTGTGATTGAAACAAGTTTTCAGCCTTCATCATCTCCACTATTTTCTGTGTGAATCCTTGCATGGCTGCCTATAACAACATCAAATCATCCACAAATTCAGGGTCATTTTTGTCATTCAACAATTCCACCATTAAAGTTGAAGAATGAGACCTTGAATGGCTCATTGTCTGTTCTGAAGATGATACCAGGAACATACTTTAACCACACAGGAAAACCCCTAAAAACCAGATTACACAAAGTCAAATGTCAAACCAAAAGTTTGAAACTTGAAAAAGTCAAACATCAAGAAACTGTAAGAACAAAAAGGTGGTAGTAAACAAATGACCAAATTGGATCTAAGAATATATGAATCTTGAGAGTACCCAAAATTCCATTCAGCACAAACATAAGGTCCAATCCTTAAATTGACATAAAGTCCAGCACCTGCTACCGTCTTTATAAACCTCACAAGATCATATCTTCCACTGAAATCATACTGCAAAACAAAACTTTCAAGAATCTGAAATGAAGAACACAAGCTTTAATGGAGAATTTAATGGATCTGTGTTGAAGAAGTTACAGTTCCAGGAGAAGGTTCATGAACATTCCAGAACACATAAGTGTCAATGACATCTAATCCCCCATTTTTAGCTTTAACTACAAGATCTTCCCACATCTGCAGCAAATCAATGAAACCCACGTCAAGAACACCAACAGAAACAGAAATGTGCAAAAATTAAGGGGATAGAGGGAATTAATTGATTACTTCAGGGGTGCTTCTGGGGTAATGAATGGAGCCAGAAATGAGGATTCTTCTTTGGCCATTGATGATTAAAGATCTGTGATCATAAGTGACAGAAGCTTGAATCAGATGCAGGTGGGTTATAAGGATTATGAAGAAAGTTAGAAATTTGGAGACGGTGGCGGCCATGGCGGAAGCGGTGGAGGAAGATTGGAAAAGACCGGAAAGGAGGTGGAGTACGTGAGTGATTGTCGGAATATTGTTGGTGAGTTCCAAGTGGTGTTGCTGAATTCTTACACTTCGACACTCTGTTTTATTGATGATGGTGGCAGGCAAGCAACCAAAATCTTATGAGTTCTATCCGCTTCATGCTGGATTTTTTTTACACAACAAATATTTAATATATAAAATCATTATATTTTACAAATATTTATTTTATTATAATTTAATTAATTAAATATATTACTTGTCATGGTGTTTGATAACCATAAATAAGATAATATAATTAATATAATATAATTATTGATTCATATTAGACCTCACAATTATCACAAACTAATTAGTTTGAGTAAAAGAGTGAGGGGAGGGTGAAGAGAGGGAGAGAGAATTTGTAAGAGTAAAAGACGGATCTAGTATTGGGATTGAACATTAATACCAATGTCAATGTGCTCAACTTGGCTCTTCTACACATGCTCTATCATTTCATTTTATATATGTTTATGTAATTTATTAATGTTATATAGGTTTAAATAAAAATATTAGGGACAAGTTTAAAAAAAATCTAATGAACTTTAGTGATTGGAATGATTAAGTTTTTGGACAATTTTTTGGAATAAATAAGTCCCTGGACATTTCAAAACCTGTTAAACAACTTCTTGGACTTTTTAAAATATGTTATATGCATTTTTATAACCTATAAAACTAATTAACATAGTAAAGTAATAGAAAAAGCATGCAAAAAAGCTAATGAACATTCATATTTTGAGCGATAAAGTTCCTAAACAATTTTTGAAAAAAAATACTTACATTATATAAAATAAAACAAATATACCAAAAAAGTATTTATATTTAAAAAATATTATTGATGAAATTTATTTTAATTAAAAATAAAAGATATTATGTCAGTGATTTTTCAAATTAAAAAACAATTTAAAAAATTTAAAAATGATTACTCATTATATTTATTTTTAATTAAATAAAATATATTCCGTATTTGATTTTTCAAAATAAAAATAAAAATCATTGATAGAATGTATCAAAAATAAATAAATTTAATCAGTAATTCTTTTTTATTTTTTAGTTTGAAAAATCACTTAGATAATGTATTTTAACTTTAATTAAAATAAATTTTATCAAAAATATTTTTTAAATGTAATTATTTTTTTGTTATATTTGTTTAATTTTATAGATCTAAATATTTTTTGGTTCAAAAATGTTTAAAGACTTAATCGTTCAAAATATGAATGTTCATTGAGTTTTTTCCGGACTTTTTCCATTATTTTACCATATTAACAAGTTGTATAGGTCATAAGAATGTATCTAACAAGTTCTAGAAAGTCCAATAAGTTATTTAACATGTTTTGGAATGTACAAGTACTTATTTGTTCCAAAAAATTGTCTAAGTACTTAATTATTCCAAACACTAAAGTCCATTGGATTTTTTTAGACTTTTCCCAAAATATTAACTAAATAAGAAAACACGAGAACAATCAAATTATGTGTGATGTTACACTAAAATCATATGTAAAATCAAATGTGCTTGGGCGACCGAGGTCATGAACCAAGTTATCCGCACACTCCTTGCGTTAATCATGCTCCGTAATTGCATGTGATTTCAATATTTGGTTGTCTCTTGTTTTCTCATTTTGATTATGCATGTTATCGTTTGAACCGCACTGTAATTTACTAATATTATTATCTTTACATAATATATAAAAAAAAGGAGGGGTCAAGGGTAAAACCAATCAAAGAAACAGAAATTTTAATAATAAGAAAAAAGTCGAACTCTTTGGTCGAAAAAAATGATGAAATCTTGAACTTGACTCCAAAGGTCCAAAGTACCAGGGGGTCTCAGGTTCAAATTTAAGGAGGGATAAAAATCCCCTTGTGGCCACAGAGGTTCAATTGCGGTGACTCCGGGCTATCTGCAAAGCAGGTGGTCGTTCTGGGATTAGTCGGCTTGCATAACGAGTTGGATATCCAGGTTAATAAAAAAATGTTGAAATCTAGTATGGATTCAAATGCATAGAGTTTGAAGACTTTGAGATATCTTGGATTGAGGGGATTTTAGACCAATTAAAGTCAAATATCGTAGTTTTTGTGGCTTTGACTTTGTGGGTAAGAAGGTGAACATACCATAACACACACAAACACACAATTTATCTCTTTCATGATGATCATGAGATTAGGACGGACTGATATACTGTGAAGCCACTTCAAATTGGGGATTACGTGTTGTAGTTAAATGAAATAAAAATAGTTACTGTAAGAGAGAATATGTAAAATTATGTAATAAAATTTAAAGAAACAGTTTTCTACCAGATTTTTCGTTATTAAATATTTTCTTTAATTTATACTTGTTTTTCAGTTTTACCTTTTTACATAGACTTTATGATTTGTCAATCATTTTGAGGTGTAGTCAAGTTTCATCAAGTGATGATAATGCGTATTTTAGTAATTTGGTTTGTATTATTTTGATCTTAAAGGGGGTGTTTGAGATTGCTTATAAAAACAACTTATTTACTTATTCCGTTGTGGCACCAGTAATAAGCACTTTTGAGTGTTTAGATAAACAACTTATACCGGTGTCAAACCGGTAATAAGGAGTTTTTGAAGAAGTTAAATCTTTCTGACTCATGATAAGTTGATAAATGCTTTTAAAGAAAAACATAAGTTGTTTCAAATAAGTAATCCCAAACACCCCCCTTAGTTTTAAAAAGGAAAGTCAACACTTCTTTTATTCTATTTTAAATCTGTTTTTTGGTCTGAATAACGTTGGTTACCATCTTGATTTCATGTATTCTTTTTGTCTTTTGAAAATTGTTGATATCATCTTTAGTGCCAACTTCGCTTTAGTCGATTTCTTAAGGGCGGCAAAATCTTTTGTTGTTTAAAAAATTTACCCTTAAAATCTTGATGAAGATCGTAATATCTATCCCATAGTTGATACAGTTTCATGACAGCGGACGATTGACGGAAGCAAGAAAGGCTGCTATTCGACTTTAGGTATAATCCAGATCCCAACTGGATCTTGACCGTGTCATGCAGCAATGCATATGAAACCCAAAGTGTTGGATTGTTTTCTGATGGTAGGGTGTGTACATCTTTTCCTTTGATGTTATCTATTTCATTTATAATGGTTATTAAGAAAAAATTAACGTTTACATTTCTTATATTTGTAGATTCGAGAATTAGAGAGCGAAGTTCAAGAGTCGAGGATGCAAGACGAATCCGGAACAAGCAACATGAAGAGATGATGGAGCTGGTCAAGAAGTTGTCCCAGTCACAGGAACCTGGATTCCCACCGCCACCACCAACACCACTGGAGTTTTGGTCATTTGGTTGTTTATGAACTGTTTTTCTATGAACCAAACAATCATACTTCTGCCCGAACCATCTTATTTATGTTCTAATGTATGATATTTGATTTTTATACTTTTCTTGTCTACATTTTAAAAATATTTTTAATATTCATAGGGAATTAAAATTATAAATTATATAAAACAGGAAAATTGTTTTTCTAAATTTATGCATTTACTGACAGATTACTGAAAATCCACCAGTGATTTATTATTATTTTTACAAATAACAAAAAGTAATTAAATTAATTAAATTTCTAAACGAATAAATCACCAGATTAGTGACGGATTAAACAATTAAGTTACTTAATAGATTCAGCCAAATTGGAAAATATTAGAAAAAAATCAGTGATGGATTTCTGTTGCGCCGCTGATTCCAATAGAAAACTGTTTTCTGGCAAAGTTTTATCCGACCGGGAAATTCGCTAGAAATCTTTTTTTCGGAGGATTTTTCTGCCAATAAAAGCCTCAAATTTAGTAGTGTAAGAGTCAAATTCTTACAAAAGATTTACATTTAACTCCAGCAGATTCTCTATTTTAGAGATTTTAATATCTATTATATTGTTAAAATATTTTACATATTATCATCTTAAATCACTTTAAAAAAATAATATAAAATAATAATAATTCAATCGATAATTTTTCTCTAGAGAATTTTTTAAATTTTTCTCTGGTTCTTCCTGTTTTAAAAATAACAATACACGGAATCAATTAAACTGATTATTGGGCCCAACTGTTGGATCTGATCTAAAACTTGACATTAAATGGGCCTCTAAATGTAGGCCCATTATCTATTAAAACAAGCCCAAGAATCTGTGTTTTAAAATGATCGGTACATATAAAATATACGTGATTGGAAAATAAATAGAATAAAATTCTCATAAAAGTAAATAATTATATATATAATTGGAATTGGGATCTTATATTTTCACGAGATGGCAAGATGGTAATAAAGGCGAACTTCGGTGATGAAGTTGAAAAGAACATAAAGGTTCGCACAAGTTAACAAATATCAACACTAAAACGTTATTAAGTTATTATCTATATTATATTATAAAGCATTTGACAAAAACTATTAAAAACTATTTTTTGTATATGAAGTATTGTATATCAATGCATATTACTTAAAATTTAAGATTACAAGTAAATTGTTCGTAGATACAATTTATTAAAGCTCTATTTTTTAATTCGTATAATTAACTGCAGATAAACATAATCAAATATATAGAATAAACATCT